CCCTGCCTCCTGGCTTGGACTTCTCTTCTGTGCACACTCCATCCCTGCTAATCCCCACCAGTCCCGTGAGGATAAACGCCACCCATGTACCGGTGGCTCCAGATTCCGGTCCCCATCTCGGGCCTCTTTGCGAACAAGGCAGCCCAGCACCCCTTGTTGGATGTCTAATGGGCAGCTCCAACTCGCCATCTTGGAAAGGGAGCTCTTGACCCCGATCTCGGTAAGTGGCAATTCCATGTGTGCTGTGAGTTGGGAGGCCCTGAGGGTGCAATTCTGCAAACCCATCAGGTCTTGTGCCCCAGGATGTGTGTGCTCTGAACCCTGCTCTCTGCTGCCACTGCCCCCGCCCTGCTGCCTCCGTCTCCCCATGAGACTTCTGCACAGTGGGCTTTCCATCACCTCAGACTGAAGTCCAGGGCTCATTTCTGCCCCAGGACCCTTTCATCTGCTGCACCTTCTGCCTGCAGTGTGCCCCTTGCCCCCATGCTGACCCTGCAGGTCAGTCACACCCTCTAGGATGTGTCAAATAGCACCTGCCGTGGATGTTTGTGTCTGGCCTCCTTGTCTTTCACACGACATTTCCTTGTTTTTAACTGTGCTGTTCATCCCTCATCAGGACGATGGTGCCACGGTGCAGGGGTCCGAGTCCTTCCATGGTAACACCTGCCTGGCACACAGCAGGCTGTTGATGAGTAGCCGCTGTCTGGATAAGCGGTCATTTGTTTGAAGTGGCTTTTCTTTGGTTCGTTGTGTGTTTCCTTGGTTATTTGTGTTTACAACCTACTGGAAATGATCTCTCCCTCCCCACCTTCCACTGAAAACGTTTCCATGCAGGTCAAATTCCTCCCGCTCACTGCATTTCTCCATCGTTCATTTACTTGGACTCTGTGATGGTGGCTAGGCCATGTACTCAGATACTTGGTCAAACACTAGTCCAGGGAGAGAAGGTATTTTAGAAATGTGATTAACATTTAGATCAGTGGCCACTGAGTAAAGCAGATTGCCTCCACGTGATGGTGGGCCTTGTCAAATCAGTTGAAAGCCTTGAGAGAAAAGTGGCTGAGGTCCCATGAGGAAGAGGGGTTCTACCTCCAGACGGCCTTCTGAACTTGCCCACTCTGGGTCCCCAGGATGCTGGCCCGTTTTATAGATTTGGGCTCACCAAGCCTACACAATCATGTGTCCGAACCTGAAAGTGCCCCCCTTTATATGTATACATACTTTAAAAATAAGATCATCTCTCACACACACCTATCATTCAGTCATCTGCCAGTCATCTCTCTATCATCTGCCTATCATCCATCATTGCTTATTCTCTGAAGAACTCTGACCAACACAGACTCTTTTTGACGTTAGACGCTTTGGCCTCTGTTTCGGGAGCTTTTTACTTTGTTTATGGGGACTCTGTCCTTATAGGTATTTGGTCTTTGCTCTGCAGGCAGAGCTGTGAGTCTCATTTTTTAAAGTTCCTGGCCTTGCTGTCATTCTGAGAAAGTCCTTATTTACCTCAAGAGAATGTAAATGCTTCCCCGTAACTTCCTCCGGTCTTACTGTGGACTTGTGTCCCTCAGTAGCACTGATGCTGCCATTGGGGGCAGGGCCCCATCTCCTGGCACCGAAGCAGTCTTGTTCCGGCCACTTGTCTTCCGGAATAACCTCAGCGAACATGGGTTTGGCCGTGGGCCGGGAATGGACATCAGGGCCTTGGCTGGACAGCACAGGCATCTGGTTTCGGCCCAGGTGCTGGGAGGTCTCAATCCACAAGCCCTGGGGGGCAGGGCTGGCTCAACCCTTCCCCTCAAACACCAAGACATGGGGTCCGGTCGGACGTGGGGCCTGCATGGGGCAGACGGCTGGGCAGCGGGTTCCATGCTGTGGGATCAGGTTTGTCAAGCTGCGATTTAGGTGTGGGAGGACACACATGTCCTGTTTATCAGCACGGCTGGAAACAGGTGTTTCTGCCCAGAGCAGGCGGCGTCCCGGCAGGCGAGGCTGCGGTGGCCCGGCTGAGCTGTGGAGCGTGCAGGACACGGCCCTCCCCTCGGACCACATGTCACAGCGCTGAGTTCGGGCCCGTGGCCGCAGAGCTGGGGAAAGTCACAAACGCGTTGTGTGGAGGGAAACAGCCGAGCCAGGGCCCCATGGGGGCTGTCACATGCCTCTGGCAGATAGACAGTTTGGCCGAGGTCGGTTGGTGCTTATGTAAGACGAAAGGAGAAGTCATGGTGGAGGGCAGCCCACGGGACTCTTCTGCTGAAGAAGTGAACCCGGCTGGCCAGGAGGGGCTGGGCTCACGTATGCTTTCCCCAGATGGAGGGATGGCACTAGACGGATGTGCTCTGTCGTGTACTCTGGGGCATGTTGTAAGTTTGCTTCCTAGCAAACTTTTGAGAGAGAAGCTCAAATGTGGACCTGCTGGGCCCAAGCAGACACCCAGCATGCTCAGGGGCTTGGTGCCCTGCCCTCTTCCATTCTCCCGGGGCCTGCGGATGGGGCTGTGGGGTGTCGGTCCAAGGGCGGAGCCCAGAGCCAGGGGCAGCTTCCTTGGGAAAAGCTGGGAGACAGCTGTGGCCGCCCTGTGGCGTCTCTGGGTGAGGCTGGGCGGGAGGAGGAGGTTGAGGCCTGGCGGCCCAAGTGCACACCCTCCTTTGAGTCCTGCCGGACCGTTCATCCGTTCGTGTGCTCACTCATTCATTCCTTCGGCTAGTGCGCATGCTGGGCGTGTGCTGTGCTTGCTTCCATGGGGCTTGGAGGCCGACTGGGAGGAGGACAGACCCCGGGGCAGGCGGATGGTCTCGGGCCGTGAAGTCAGAGGAGCAGGCCCGGATGGCCTCGGGGTGGCTGGCGCTGGGGAGGCCTGGCCAGGCCAGCTGGGTGAGGCAGAAAGAGCCTTGTTCCTGATGTAAAGGGAGCCCGTCAGCGGCTTTGAGCCGGGGCTGCGGGCTCACAGGTCTTTAGGGGACCAGACCGGCTGTGGGCTGGGGAGGGGGCAGGCCTGGAGGCGGGCTGTACAACAGGGAGCTCTGGGTGGGTGTGACGTGGCTTGGAGTGTGTGGGAGGCGGGTCGCGATGACTTCGGGGTGTCTTTCGGGGGCCACTCGGCAGGCGGTCATTTACTGCGGTGGCAGCCTGGGGGAGGGTAGACTTCCGAAGGAGGTAACTGGGAATACAAGGGACCGCAGTGTATTGTAAATGTGTGCCGTGTGCAGGAGGACACATCCGGGGGACAGAGTGCTCTTGTGACTTAGGGTCCATGTTGCGGGGGACGTGCGTTCACTGAGCAAGTGTTTCTGAGCACCTACCATGTGCTGGGCTCTTCTTTCTGTGTTGGGCATCATCAGGGAGCCACAGAAAACACTGTGCTCTTGGCATTAACTTTCTGGGTGACAGGAAAGAAATAACCAACCAATATAACGAGAAAGGGAGCCCCCGAGTGTGCCAGAGGGGCAGAGAAGAAAACGCAGTGGGGGAGCGGCACAGGGCAAGGGCATGGCCACTACAGGACCCGTGTGCGGACGAGCTGTGGGGGCACTGAGGCCTCCTGTGAACTCTGGACACAGGGCTGCCCTTGCCACTGGTAGGTCGCCGCGGGCAGGGTGGGCAGGGTGAGCCCTCCGGGGCACAACCGTGGGCAGCCTCCTGAGTGGGTGCCACAAGGCTGGGGCAGCAGGTGGGCCCAGAGAGAGAACGAGATCTGTTCTCAGAGCCTGGCCTGAGACCCTAGATGGGGGCCCCTCGGCCGGCAGCGGTGACACGGGGACCCTGGGTGTGAGTTTCCTGTGGCTGCCACAGCAAATCCCACAGACCTTTGTCTCCTCGGGGTCTGGAGCCAAGAAGTCTGCCCCCAGCCCCTGGGCCACAGGCGGGCGTGGGCAGGCTCTGGGACACAGCCTGTCCCTGGTTTCCCTGCTCCAGGAGCAGCACCTGGGCTGGTGGCCACCGCGGGCACCTTGCTCTGGTGTCACGCTGCCTTCTCCTGTGGCTCTGTGACAACCGTGACCCCCACCAGCCGAGACCACCTCTCTTCTTGTACGCTGACCTTGATGCCTCTGCAAAGTGCCTTTGCCCCAGAGGTCACATGCAGAGGCCATGGGGGTCGTCTGACCACAGCCCCGCGTCCGGTCGTGGCGTGTCAGGTGTCAGGGGTGGGTCAGCCTCCACTGGCCACGTGCGGGGATGAGCATGAGCTGAAGCCGTGGACGGATGAGGGTGGGTGAGGACGGAGGTGGTGAGAGGGACGAGCAGTGACGGGGGACACCAGCGTTGTGGCATTGGGGGCGGGGGGGCCGTGGACCGGCGGGGCTTGACGGTGGCTGCCCTCACTCTTGCTCCTGGCCAGCGGGTGGCGTCCACTGTGCTCGCCTGCCCCCGTGACCACTTCCTCTTCTGCAGCTGGGGACCCTGGGCGACGGCAGGCTTCCAACGGTGACTGTGCGCTGGGCAGCACCAGGGTCTCCCACGCGCCCCTCGAGGCACGACTGCGCGCACTGCCCCCGCCTGCTGCACCGGAGGGAACAGACCCAGGAGGCCGTGGGGCCAGGCACACACAGAATGAGCTCCACGTGTGGGCAGCACCCACTGCCCCCAGCTAGGTGCCTGGGAGCCGTGTGGCGCGTGGGCATGTGTCTGGGCGCATACGTGAGCACACACGGTCTGCAGACCAGTGCGTGTACTATGGGCGTGCAAGCACGAGCCTGGCGCTTGCACGTGTGTGTGTGTGTGTGTGCTGTGTCTGTAGGCTGTAGTGTGCGCGAGCACTGCCTGTGTCTGTGCACGCGCGCTTCTGTGTGAACTGTGCTTGTGCGCATGTGTGCGTGTGCGTGTGCGTGTGGTGGGTGTGTCTGTGAGTGTGCAGAGCGGCACCTCTCCCCCCGCCGGCTTCCCCACGGGGCAGCCCCCCATGGCCCGCCTGCCACAGCCGCACCCCAATCCCGGCTGGGACTCTCTCTCAGCCCCGGATCCTCTGAGCCGACGGAGGCAGGGAGACAAGAGGCAGGGTGTGTGAGCAAGTTGTTTATGGGGCCGGCTGGCAGGCGGGAAGACAAGGGCCCACAGTCAGGGCCGCGGGTTCAGGAAGCGTGGGCTGGGTTTGGCGGCCGAGCCCTGGGCACAGGTGGACAGAGACGAGCATGGGGCAGGCGAAGTGGGGCCGGGGCGCCACGCACAGGCCAGAGTCCCAGCCTCCCTTCTCTGCGGGTGCAGGACATCCGCTCTCCTGGGGCTACTTCACCTGCAGCAAGAGCCCAGGGGTTAGGAAGGGGGCCGGTGGCCGGAGGGTGCAGAGGGGGGGGATGTGAGGAGCCAGGTCCCCAGACGACAGGGCCCAGACCCCCGTGTACTTGTGAGCAGGTGCAACGTGCCCGCTTCCTGGCCGGAGTGCTGTGGCAGAGGGGAGGAGCCTCTGATGCCTGACAGGCCCCGGGCCCATGTCCACGGCCCATGGCAGCTGCACATCCCTCCCGCTCCCACCAGGCTCCCTGGGCTGGCTCCAGTGTGCCCCCCCCCCCCCCCCCCCGGGCAGGGCATCGCCTCCCCCCAGCCCTGCACACAGGTGTGCTGGCTGCCTTACTTTGATGAAGGTGACGAAGCCGCTGTAGAGCAGAGTGAGAAGGAAGAGGGCCACGAACGTGGGCCACAGTCTGCCGGTGTCTTCCAGGTCCGTGGAGCCGCCGCCGCTCTCGTCATGGCTCTGGGGGGCTGGGGGGGCCATGTCCAGACCTGGGGAGCAAGGGCGCTAGTGAGGAGGTTCGGTTCGGAACCCGCACACGACGGGTTGCCGAGTGACAGGGGACTGCTCCGGGCATGCTTCTCCCGACCCGGAGTCTGTGAGGCTTCTCCCGGCTGGGTCCCCCGGTGCCCACAGAGCCAGACGGGGCCCCCCACCCCGTGCAGCAGACGGGCCGGAACCGAGCACTGTGGCGCACAAGTCCCGGGCGCGAGCGGGAGGTGGTTGTCACCCGGTAGGGGTAGTCGCACAGGGGACCCGGCCAGGCAACGAGAGGTGGGAACGGCACGCACGAAGCTGTTCTGGGAGAGAGCCGGGAGGGCAGAGGGGCCCCGGGTGGCTGCCGCGGAGAGAGCTTGGGCGAGTGGGGGCAGGGCGGGCATGGCGGGATCTGCATCTCTGAGCAGCCGCTCCCCTGGACACTCGGGCGGGGGCCAGGATGGGAGGGGTTGCCGGGGTCCTGGTTCAGGGCCCAGTTCCTGTGTCACGGGGCGTGAGCGTGGAAGTCGGTCGTGTGTGCTTGCAAACTTCATAGCGGTCTGTTTATTCTAATAATGAAAACATGGCAATCTTTGTTGGTTTCATCTTTCTAGTAATTGAACCCTGTTGCATTCTACGAAGGTGTTGGTCCACGAGAACAGGAAATATTAACAAAGGCAGCTGTCCTTGGTCCGGATAATTTGAGAGAACCTGTTCCAGACACGTAAAGTGTAGTGGTGAACGGTTGGGGGGTCAGCCGGACAGTCAAAAGTTACACAGTCCTGCACGGACAGTGCCCTGTCCAGGTAAAGGCCGTGTGTCTGACCCCCCACCAGAGCACCAGGCCGAGCCCCAGGGCATCGAAGGCTGCTCAGAGGACAGGAGGGTGGGTGGGTGACATGTTCATTTGCACCCTTCAGTCCAGTGAGGCGGGCCAGGCCGGTGGGCTTCGTGTCGGGCTTGGCCCAGGAGATGCTGTGATGTGGTTGGACGTGATCGGAACTGCTGTTAATGACAGAATCTGGATCTCCTGTGGGTCTAACTCTGCTGCTTCTTATCTTGATTATGGCTGAAGCTTTTCTGCTTCTTTGCATGTCTTTTAATTTTTGATTGCACACCGGGCATTGCAAACAAACAGCCAGCACTGGAGAAGTGGAGCACATGATAGCACTTTCCTCGGGGCGGGGGTGAAGGCACATCTGGTCTATCGAATCAGGACTTGAGCCGGTGGGATGTCAGGACAGTTGGCTTCAACTCCGATGTTTGGGGTGGGTCAGGGCCCTCCCTCCACTGGGCTTCAGAGTCCAAGCACCATGCAGGACCGGAGATCTGTCCCAGCTCTGAGCACAGGTCCTGTCTGGGGCAGTCAGTGGTGGAGGGGATACAGTTGGGGCTCATCCCTACTCTTATTCCTCATGTCAGCCCATGTGGACGTTAAAGCCTTGACTGATTCCCTCAGGCCTCTCTCCTCCCTGGATGCCAATACCTCTGTCCGCCTGTGCCCAGGGTGGGGGTAACGTAACCGTGTCCGTCGGTGTCCAGGGTGGGGGTAACGTGGCCAACAATGTTGTCTTGCCCAGGAGCCAGGTCAGCTGGGCTTCTCTGAGTCCTCAGCTCTTCAGTGACTTTAAATAAAGCTGGTTAATAAAGTGCGTGTGGCGCCGTCCTGCTGTTCCCGCTTGCCACGCTGCCTTCGTTATCTGTGACATCCTCACTGGAAGCGCACGCATCCCGGTGCTGGGCAGCAAGGCTGGGCTGTGCGGGCACGGCCGGCAGGAAGACACCCTCAAGGAGGCCATTGTGATTAGTGGGGGAAGGACTGGAGGCAGTTGGCAGAGAAGTCCGGACGCTATAGGGTCCCCACACGAAGTGGAGAGTGTGGGCCTGTGGGGGGTAAGCTTAGGAATCCCCCGGGCTTACACCAACGGGTTAACAAGGCACAGAGAAGTACGAAGCTATAGGATGCTCACCCCCGAGTTTGGGTAAACAAGACAAGGCAACCGAGAATAGGGGGGTATAGAGGCCCCCGATGCATAGGTATATGAAATAAACAAGATTAGGCATTCAGGGCAGAAGCACCTCCAATTTAGTACTATAGCAGCTTTCACGGGAGAATAGGACCAAGCTGGGTAAATTGGCGAACTGGACTATGGACCCCTGCACTGCAGGCGTAGCAGCCCAGAGCGGAGATGGTTAACGAAAGCAAAGGTGCCTTGTCAACCCTGAGGTCACGTGTCCTCCCTGCCTCATCCCCGAGGCTGAGATAAACAGAGGTGCTGCCTCAGGTCCGCTGTAAACAACCTTCCTCCCCACTGCCCGGCGCCCGGATTTTGTTTTGTATTAACCCAAACCCCTAACCCCGAGGATCCTCAAGACCCCCTTTCCCTCACGTCCACAAGTTAATGTTCACAGATTCCTCGTCTCTTTGTGCACGTCCATCGCCGTGTTTGTAAGCCTTCTGATCCTGACACAAACGGGGCAAGGGCCCTTATTCAGGTCTTGTTTTTTCCCGGACATTAGCCATCTCTCACTTTAATCCTGTGCCCTGCTCTCTTGCTGGCCAAGAGAGAACTTTAGACTTGGAGTCTACGACCCCAAGTGACCCCAATGTGACAGAAGGAAAGGGGACTATGGGCCGATGTGGCAAGGTGCTGCCGCGGCCAGGCAGTGCGACACAAGGACTGCAGGACGCCGCAGAACGCTAAAGGAGCTCCAAGAAAAAAAACGCACATGCACTGGATACAGTCTCTACCTGATGAGGTGAGGGATAAAGTGAAACTAGATTCGCTGCCGCAGAGCTTTTCGGGAGATCTCCCACGGGGCAACTCCCTCCCTCTGACTCCCTAGCCCCTGGACAAACGCGCTATGTTCGAATTTCTCAGTCCCTAGGAGAGATAGCAGGGACTACTCTAAATTATAAGGCTCTCCTTAGATTATTGGCTGTCCAACAAAATTGCCCTTGGTTCCCAGAACAAGGAACTTATGATCTTGATGTGTGGGAACGAGTAGGGAAAACGTTAAAGGCCAGGCATTCTAGAGGGGCTAATACCCCCCCTAAACTAACCCTCACCTGGTCCATTGTCCATACTGCCCTTCTCCCCTCAAGCTCGGATGGTGTATATGAAGATGTAGTTATCTAAAAAGGAGGAGAAACCTCGCTCCCCCTCTAGCCAGCCTGTGCCTGTGGCTCCTTTACAGCCAGGAGATAGTCCTCCTCCCCCAAAAGGATGGTACGATATTGATATCGAGCCTCTGAAAACCTCACCGACCTGCTCTGATGAAGTCCTCACCCCAGTGCAAAAGTACATTAAAAAAAGCCCATAAGGCCAGTAAACTCCACCTATTTCCCATCGACAGGCAAAATGGGCAATTTGGTCATGAAGGCCTGCTCTTACTAATTGTAAAAGAATTGCAAAAATCAGTTCGGCTGTATGTCCATCACAGCCCTTTTACATTGGGTATTTTAGAAAATATTCGCGGCTCTCATTCCATGTGTGCCTGGGACTGGGGCTCTCTTAAGAACATCATCCGGACCCCAGCCCAGTATGCTGTCTGTGCCCAAGAGTTTCATGATGTTCGCATGACTCGTGCTGTGCAGAACTTTGCCACTGCTATTCTGGTGTCTTTTCAACAACTGACACAAGGCAGTATCCCCAACCAAGGCAGCCAGCCCAGCTTCCAGTCATTGTCAGCAAAGCAATGCACCGAAATAGTGCAGTGGATTTTACAGAGGGCATCCCTGATATAGGGACTCTAACTCTCTCTGTCTCACTGTTTCTCCCTATACACTCTGTTAGTCTTACTATATGTGAGGGCCTCTCCCTCATTCATTTCCTGGGTTAATAACTATGATGATTAGAACCAATTGTCTCTGGCTAGTCTACCTCGGGATAGAGATTTTAAGGAATATTCCCAAGCAGCTGCCGAAACTCCTTTTGTTTGGGGGAACTTCCCTGCCTTCTCTGGCCCAACATGGACTGCCTAATTCCACTAGTGCAAAACAAAACAAAACAAAACAAATGATACAAAACAAAACAAAAATCGATATCTGTTCATCTAGCTGAGCTGACAGACTTTAGGACCATATAAACTCTTTGTCCTCTGTGCCCCTCTCTGCCTTCAGGCCTCTTGGAGGTTCCTCACCTTTTCTGTCTTCTCTCCCCCTTCCTCCCATTTCTGCACCGCCTGGGGTAAGGCCTGCTATCTGAATCTTCAATGCTTCAGACAGCACTCCTCCCCATGCCGTCAAAAGGCAAAAACATGAAGACAAAAGCTTCTGCACTGCAAAGGAAACAATCAACAAAACTAAAAGGCAACTGACGGAATGGGAAAAGATATTGCAAATGACATATCGGACAAAGGGCTAGTATCCAAAATCTATAAAGAGCTCACCAAACTCCACACCCAAAAAACAAATAATCCAGTGAAGAAATGGGCAGGAGACATGAATAGACACTTCTCTAAAGAAGACATCCAGATGGCCATCAGGCACATGAGAAGATGCTCAATGTCGCTCCTCATCAGGGAAATACAAATCAAAACCACACTCAGATATCACCTCACGCCAGTCAGAATGGCTAAAATGAACAAATCAGGAGACTATAGATGCTGGAGAGGACGTGGAGAAACGTTGCACTGTTGGTGGGAATGCAAATTGGTGCAGCCACTCTGGAAAACAGTGTGGAGGTTCCTCAAAAATTAAAAATAGACCTACCCTATGACCCAGCAATAGCACTGCTAGGAATTTACCCAAGGGATACAGGAGTGCTGATGCATAGGGGCACTTGTACCCCAATGTTTACAGCAGCACTTTCAACAATAGCCAAATTATGGAAAGAGCCTAAGTGTCCATCCACTGATGAATGGAGAAAGAAATTGTGGTTTATATACACAATGGAATACTACGTGGCAATGAGAAAGAATGAAATATGGCCCTTTGTAGCAACATGGATGGAACTGGAGAGTGTGATGCTAAGTGAAATAAGTCAGGCAGAGAAAGACAGATACCATTTTT